CACAAATGAAGACTTGAGCTATGGTAGATGGTGCTAGAACAAAAAGCAGGACAATGAAGCAACACTGCCTCAGTAATGAAACCTTTCCACCCAACCGTACACATTCCAGCCAAGCGCCTAGTGTGGGTGTGTATGTGGGGCTGGTGGGTGTGTGGGGATGATGCAGCTAGTGCTTTTCAATTTTCCCATATTAGGAAATAATAAAGGTTCTTCTGGACTCTATAATAATATAGAGAATATCAAGTTACCTGTAATCATGCTGGATACAATTAATGGCAAAATGATGAGCTTCAGCATTCTCATTAGAATTTCTCCAGGAAAAGCAAAGTAAAATTTGTCTAGATTTGAGAGTTGGCTGTGTTCTCGAACCAAGACTCCTGTGACAATGCCTAAGGAGAACAAGGAAAACACTGGTTAGGCTTTCTTTATATATTTTGCTGCATAACATAAAAAAATCTGTGCATTTTAATGGCAAGACAAACAGTTTAGATCATCTCCCATGAGTCTAAAAAATTCAGATTTCACCACCACAATTTAAAGGTTACACATGAATCAGTAAATTTGTTTTAAAGAAAGTATTCTTCACAGGAAAGCTTTTGTTATTATTTCCTCCCCATAATGTATTTATTTTTATTTATTTTTTTTGCCAGTGGAAGCCAATTTTTAATTAATTTTATTGAGAATCAAATAGCAATGAGACAGTTTCAAAACCAATTAGTAGGACAGTTTCAATAATTAACACATTGCATATTGTTGTCTTCATAGTGGTTATCCATAGTGCAAGATGCAGACATGATATCCTGTCCATTCACTATTAGTACAAATCTTTCTTCTCATTGAATTAAGTGTGGGGCCACAGAGGAAAGTGATCAATGATGTAGAGTGTGACTAAGGAGAGTCACATAATGTATTTATTGCAATGAAAAAAGAATCAAATAATGCTGGAAAATATTCATTCTCTTAGTCAACTGACTATAGTTATTTTATGTTGACACACCACATCAGTGAGCAACTCGGTTCTCAAATGCTTTGCGTTCCTTCCAGCTATTTCTAGCTAATAACAGGCTCAAGCATACCTGATCAAGAAACTTTTTATGAAGTTTCTGATCTTGTGTTCCTTGTACACAGTAGCTTATAATTACATAATTACAGGTATATGCTCACTCTTAAGAAATGTTATATCTTCTCTGAAATCTTGCTTTACAAGATCACTGTATGAACTCCTCCAGTTGTGTGGCGAACACAATTTAATGATGATTCTTATAACTAAAACTCATAAAGAATTAGTAATTCTTTTTTTATCCCATTCCAGATGATTCTAATAACATCCAGCTATGTCCCTTCCCTTATCCATAACATACATACTTAAAAAAAAAACAAGAAATAAGGGATTGAGAGGATTCACTCCTCTTTGTTCCTTGACCAGTCCCTGATGAGTGGCATGCTAACCGGAAGTAAAATGGTGTAATGGCAGGAAGATTCAAGGAGGGTATTACTGGATCTGCAAATTCACAAATAATTTGTGAAAATTCAGGATTGCTTCAATATTAAATATCATAAGGCAATGAAAAGAGATGTGAATTGCAAGCAATAGTAGAATAGTCATCTAAATTCAGGTTTCTCTCCTTTGCGGACTAGTAGAGCAAATAGATGGACCTTGCTTAACATATGTTATGTAACAAAGTTATCTTTAGCTTAATTTTATTTTCCTACATAGTCTACTTTGACTTCGATCACTTTATTTTATATCTATATTACTGAATGCACTCCTGGTCATAGACACTTCCCAAACAGTGGCTGGTACAAACATAAACAACTCTACTACCACTCCAATTTAGTTCTTTACTAAAACCTAGTATTTGAGACTCACAAATGGTTAAGATTCCAAGGATTCAAAATATTTTAAGTGAATTTAGAAGGCACAATGCACTCATTTTCTGCTTTATTAATTGCCTATTTTGGCTATATTATACCACAGGGATATCTATAATTCTCAGGG